AGGTGATCGTCGGCAGCCGTGGTCTATCCGCTGACGGGTTAAAGGGCCCATCCTCGTGCCGTGGCCACTCCTCGCACGGGCCTCCCCCCCCCCGTGCCGCCCGCCGTGCGAGGGTCGCCGCTGCTGCACTGGGGATGTTTGGTGGCAGTTTCCACGACTGAGTGTCTGGCTTCGTGCTGGAGTGAGAAGGGAGCGACCGGAGAAAACCCTCCATGCATTAGCGGAGGGAAACGCTCACAGCTCCACGTGAATAGATTCAAGGGTCCACTTGCCGTATTGCCATCCGCTGGGGCCACCTGAAGCCTACAGCACCTGTTATTCTCGGGCCACTCTGGAAAAAAAAAAAACGAATCAGGCGTAAATTCATCTTAGCATTTCAGATATGATGAGGTCTGGCACATTCGGGTCTACGATGTTCCTTTCTTTGATGGGACCCAACCATACCTCGAGGGTCGATAAAATATCTCCCACCTAATGGAGATATCAACGGTGACTGTCTCATGGATTTTACGTCGTCTTGTCACGCAAGGCGGAATTTCCACGGCCGATGGCGGAGAAGGACGGGCGTTGCTCCGGTGGTCGTTAGGAGATGCCTTGAACGACGCTTTGGAGTAAATTCAAGAAGTGGCCCATTTCAATGGTGTGGTCGCGTAAAGAAAATAAAAACCTCACAGAGATCGCACGATATGCGCGCGGACTCTGTCAGACGACTGCCCGACTTGCGTCTGTTCTCGGAAAGTATTTCGTGAGCCCGAGGCAGATATAAAATTTGAGCGCGATCCCATCACCTTCCCCCACCACCGACTCGTGACGCGGGCGATCGATGGTGGGAGACCTCTGAGTGCGATGGCCCAGCGCCCATGCCCCCCGGACATCCGTGGGAAAAAAAGAGCTTCACAGCTCATCGGATTTCTCCTGCAGTCTCAAATAACCGTTCTGATTCTGACAGAAGCAAGATCGATAGAGACGTTAGATTGTTAATCGGAGTGCGAATGTTCAGTGATCTCGTCGCGCTTATATGGCTTGGAATTCGAGCTCATATTTTGATGCAACCTTTAATTATTTCATGATTATGGTAGGGAGGGGGGGGGGCTGTGGAGGGGGGGGGGGGGCAACCGCTGGAGTTACCGCTCCATCTAACCTCGCCGCGTCCTTAATTAACCCCCTCACCCCCCTCCCTCCCTGTGACCCTTCACCTCATCCGCTCTGCCCGCACTCTCCCCCCTGGCTTTGCAAAGGGCTCGCCGCTCGTAATGGCGCCCATTAATCATTCGCCGCTGGGCACCGAGCGCACGAGGCTGCCTTCGTGGCGGCGCCGTTGAAATAAAGAGCAGCTGCCGCCAAGCGATGCGCGGCCGCAGCTGTCGTGTTCGCCGCGTCACGCCACGCGTGCGTGCGTGACGCGTGCGTGACGTGTGTGTGTGTGCGCGTGCGTGCGTGACGCGTGCGTGACGTGTGTGTGTGCGCGTGCGTGCGTGACGCGTGCGTGACGTGTGTGTGTGCGCGTGCGTGCGTGACGCGTGCGTGACGTGTGTGTGTGTGCGCGTGCGTGCGTGACGCGTGCGTGACGTGTGTGTGTGCGCGTGCGTGCGTGACGCGTGCGTGACGTGTGTGTGTGCGCGTGCGTGCGTGTGTGTTTCATAGTTTTATTTATTTTGGTATAGCCCTGTGAGCCATTCGGCTCTTGAATCGGGTGCAACCGCAACAAAAAAAAACATGAACAAGAAAACATTTTAAAGTGACTATGTGACTGTGCAAACAGAAAATCCAGGAAAAAACATCAAAATATTCCTGAAATAGCACCGTACACCAACGCTGTGTGCAAAAATCCCAGTGGGATGCAAGTCAAACAACAACAAGAAAACTTAGATTAAGGTCATCAGTTTAACTCCGTACTACAATAAACAAAAACATGGCCAAACCAAAAAACTTTTAGAAATCACCAAAATAAATCCATAAATGCAGGAATTGTGACTGAATTTTTAACAATAAACTACATAAATAACATGTAACACCAAACCCTAGAGCCACAGCTGGCTGCATGAGTCACTCCACAAACAACAGGAGCATCAGTCGGAGTATCGCATTTTTCAATGCACCTTTAAGATCAGCACGCTAAATCAAAATACAGATAATACTGTATTATCTGTATTTTGTGTGCGAGGCGCGTGGGACCCGAGGAACACGCGTGGTGTCGTTGCCGTTGGCCATGTAGTAGTGGTAGCAGTAGACGGGCTTTCGCGACCGATGTCCGTAACAAAGGGGGGAGGGGGGGGTTGTATTAGGTCGTGTAAATACGAATGCGACGTTAAACCCGCCACCACCATCCGACACGGCCAATTAGTGAGGTTTGTCACGTAAACAAAAACGTGCCGATGAGTTGACTCGTTCGGCACTCACCAGTGTGTTTGGAGACTAAACCCACAACGTTTACAGTTCGTTTCGTCGGTGATTACAACCAGCATCAATCAGGCGATACAGAGGATTGTAAACGTGAACTCACTGCGTACGACAAATAAGAAGTGAGAAAAATCGATTCACGCGCGAGCGATTCGGTGCGTGCGCAGCGAGCTTAAGATCCGACGTTAATCAATGAATCGACGAATCATCGCACCCCTAGCCACGCTAATGTGGAATTTACACCAGCGACAGAGACGAGAAGCACCCCACACTCGTTCCAATGGTATGCGAGCACTACTCGGGACCGATTCACGTGCTCTTGGCGGAAGCTAATCTTCGTCCGATCACTATAACTGCTTAACCCAAACTATTAACGTCTTGGTGTTTGCATCCTCCATGTGCTGTTCGCTTTTTGGCATTCTTTCGTGATCTCTCGGAACTGGTGAGACAAATCCATGAAAGAGTCTCTCTGCATACACGACCAAAGAATAATTGATTGCACGATTTGCCACGAGTATGTGTGGTCAATGCAGACTTGATGCCTTGTATTATGCGGCTATTTGGTGTTTGAACATCCGATTTACTACCGTATTATTTTTTTCATCATCTTGCTACTGGAAAAAAGATGTACTTTATATATATTCGTCCGATTTTTTCCCCCCCCGAAATTCCGTCGAAGTCTCTCAAACATCAGCAGCAGCAGCAGCAGCAACAACAGCAACAACAACGTACGGACGACGTTGGTTTGACCGACGTGTGGCAAGCGATCCCATAGCAGAGTGTGTGGGAAAGTGCCGCCCCCCTCCCCTCCCACCACCCTTCACCCCCCCTCCCCCCCCACTGTGTGAAGGATTACAAGGGGGCAAAACCTCTTCCGCAGCCGATGTCCGACAAACGGGACGCGGCGCCCGGCAAGATTGGCCAAATGGATTCCTCCCCGTGTGAGGCGGTGTGACGCCGATTGGCACGATCGGGCAAATACGGTGAATTGGTGGGTTAGCATTCGCAAAAAAAAACACCGGGCCGAAAAACAACCGAGGCGATGGTGCTGGCGTTTCGGGCCAATTTTGCCCGGGATTTAAATCTGGCACCTCCCGCTCAGACATTTTCGTTCTCGACGTTCAGCGACGAGCGGACCGCCGGTCGCCTCCCTCCATTTTTGTGCCCGGGGGAGCTTCGAGCGGAAGACGTCGACCCGGAGCCGAGTTTCGCGAACTTCGCCACCTATCCGGCGGCGGTCGGCGTGCTTTCGTTTTTCTTTTTGCTTGCGCAGGTCGAGGAGGTGGGGGAGAGGCGGCCGGAGCGAGGACCCCCGCCGGCACGCGCGACAACGCCGTCGAGGACGCATCGCGGCCGCCGCATTGTGATCGCTTCCCCCCCCAACCACCGCGCGGTTATAGAAGGGAGCCGGCGGGAGCTGGCCGGAGCGACGGTCTGTCGCGCGGCGGTTCTACCGCGTCGCGTTGGCTCCGCTCGCGCGTCTCGCCGCCGCAGAGCCGCTGCGCTGCCGTTGTGCTCGAGAGCTGTTTGCGTTTAAACTCACCCGATGAATTCTTCTCGATTTTGTTTCCACACCGCACCGACTGCTCGTCGTTTGTTCGAATCCACCCCCCTCGCCGCGAGCGTTACCCCGCGGCCGGTGACGACCGCTCGCGGCTCCGGTTTCAGGAGGTAATAAACTCCACCACGGGTTTTTGTCTTTTTTGCCAGGTTAAAGTGACTGTGTACCCGGTGTGTTTTGTTTCGTTTGTTGTTGGTATCGTCTTCATTCAATCTGGAACGCCGAGTTAATACGCGGGCGCTGATAATAACGATAGCGACGTTGGCGATGATGACACTCCCCGGTGCGGCGGTTGATACGACGGCTGACGTCGCTTAAATCCCCACCCGCCACCACCACGACCACAACCACCACCAACTCCGCTCGCCCGCCTGCGTCCGCGCAAGCGGGGTAAAATAACTCGGCCGCAATCAATCGGTGGGTCGCGTGCGCGGTGCGGTAAAGTGGGGGGTACACCCACGGCTTCCGAGATGTTTGGTGCCAGCGTAGAAGAGTGGACGGAAATACCCTCCGAGAGGGGGGTTTTCTGTCTCTCTCGAGCTCCCTGTATTGGAGGAGGCTCCTCCGCCAGCCAGCAGTGGCACGAACAAGCAAGTGGCCTTGTTACTAAGAGTAATGCAACGTACGACCGAGTTCAACAAAAAAACGTTGAATATTTTCACCGTGCTATTGCTGTGGCTTCTCGATGTTCTAAAAAAAAGCAATTCCCAATTGAAATCAACAAAATTGGTGGAATTTTTGTTAACATTTATTCACGAAAAATACGGCGCTTCATGGCCGCGTTTCCCTCACTGACGAAACCAACCGACCCCGAAAGCCGGAAAAACCCCGAGGTGGAGCTTTCCTCAAAACCGGAGTCGCCCGGCAATCAACTCTGCCCCACAATCCCACCCCACTGCTTTCATCCCCCACCTCCAACCCCCGACACCCCCCCCCCCCCCCAAACCTCCACCACCCTGAACAACCGCTCCCTCCCCTCGCCCGATCTCGCTCCCCTCCCCTCCCCGCCGTAATGATTTGTCTTCTCTTTGCCGTCCAGAACTGCTGCAGGCGTTGAATGAACAACGGCAGGAAGGAGCGTTCACTGACCTGAGACTAAGTGTGAAGGGACGCGTGTTCTGGGCGCACCGTAATATCCTAGCATCCTGCAGCTTGTATTTGAAGCAGCTGATCAAAAGGTTCGCCCCCCTCCCCACCTCCTGCCCCCCACCCCCCCCCCCCCCACACTCCTTCTCTCACCAACCCCGTTCTCTTCTCCCTGTGCTACCCCCACCGCTCCTACCACCACCCCTCCTTGAACCCGCTCCTGGCATGACGGTAAACGGGGCCCCCTAACCCAGATCTTTCCGTCCCCACCTCCCCCTCCCCCCCCACCCCCAGCCCCACCGCCGCTCCACTGACGAACAACCAACCTCGCACCGCACCGCCGCCACCATCACCGCCACCGCCATCAAAGCCGCCACCACCACCACCACGATCATCACCACCATCGCCACCGCACCTGTTGTTGCCGTTGTCGGGATGAATCCGTTGCATTGTGAGTGCACGCACGCACACACCTAACTCTGTACCTCCCGACACGAAGCGACGGTTTCTGCACACAAGACGGCACTGCACCGCAGCCCGCAAGGTTCACGGAGACGCGGCGGACGTGGCCAGCGCCGTGGCGCGATAGAATCGGTCCGCGAGATGCCGAGGGGACTGCAGCTGCAGGTGCACCTGCAGCTGCAGGTGCACCTGCAGGTGCAGCTGCAGCGTGTCCGAGCAGGGGCTGGAGCGCGGGATTTAGCGCGGGGGGGCTAAGCGTGGATTCGGAATCGCTGTTATTGCTGCCAGTTCCTGTTCTACAGTGCACGTCTAGGGTAACCTCATTTGGGCACGACAACACTCACTTTACACTGCTGTAAACATGCCTCCCTGTTCCACAGTGCACGTCTAGGGTAACCTCATTTGGGCACGACAACACTCACTTTACACTGCTGTAAACATGCCTCCCTGTTCCACAGTGCACGTCTAGGGTAACCTCACTTGGGCACGACAACACTCACTTTACACTGCTGTAAACATGCCTCCCTGTTCCACAGTGCACGTCTAGGGTAACCTCACTTGGGCACGACAACACTCACTTTACACTGCTGTAAACATGCCTCCCTGTTCCACAGTGCACGTCTAGGGTAACCTCATTTGGGCACGACAACACTCACTTTACACTGCTGTAAACATGCCTCCCTGTTCCACAGTGCACGTCTAGGGTAACCTCACTTGGGCACGACAACACTCACTTTACACTGCTGTAAACATGCCTCCCTGTTCCACAGTGCACGTCTAGGGTAACCTCACTTGGGCACGACAACACTCACTTTACACTGCTGTAAACATGCCTCCCTGTTCCACAGTGCACGTCTAGGGTAACCTCACTTGGGCACGACAACACTCACTTTACACTGCTGTAAACATGCCTCCCTGTTCCACAGTGCACGTCTAGGGTAACCTCACTTGGGCACGACAACACTCACTTTACACTGCTGTAAACATGCCTCCCTGTTCCACAGTGCACGTCTAGGGTAACCTCACTTGGGCACGACAACACTCACTTTACACTGCTGTAAACATGCCTCCCTGTTCCACAGTGCACGTCTAGGGTAACCTCACTTGGGCACGACAACACTCACTTTACACTGCTGTAAACATGCCTCCCTGTTCCACAGTGCACGTCTAGGGTAACCTCACTTGGGCACGACAACACTCACTTTACACTGCTGTAAACATGCCTCCCTGTTCCACAGTGCACGTCTAGGGTAACCTCACTTGGGCACGACAACACTCACTTTACACTGCTGTAAACATGCCTCCCTGTTCCACAGTGCACGTCTAGGGTAACCTCACTTGGGCACGACAACACTCACTTTACACTGCTGTAAACATGCCTCCCTGTTCCACAGTGCACGTCTAGGGTAACCTCATTTGGACACGACAACACTCACTTTACACTGCTGTAAACATGCCTCCCTGTTCCACATTTCACGGACTCGTGCTGTCACTGTACGGCGCTGCGGCACCGGGGCGGCGGGCGATTTCGGTTTTTTTGTGTGTCGTTATAATGGAGGGAAGGGATATTCGGCTCGTGTTTGGCTTGGTGCCAGACGTCACGCCGCCCGTCAAACTAACCGTCGTCGTTTTTTAAACGGCGATCGTTCATTTATTTTGTCGGATTTTTTTTAAATTTGCGCGCTTTGTGGCTTTTATTTCTCCGATGGCGCCGAGGCGAATTGTTTGCGTCGCCTCGGTAGCTACGGACGGACTCGGAAGTAAGCGAATACGCACGTTGGCAGAATTGTTCCCGAAATTTCTTTCTATTTTTTTTATGTCCAAATAACCTACAGATCCAGCGACGGCGAAGGACCGTTCCCTAAATTGGATAAACCGTGGTTGTTTATGAAAACAAATTTTTTTTTTGGCGTGAAATATTGCTTCCAACGCGACCGTGCCGAGTCTCTCCCCGGCCGTGCCGCTGTGCATCTCACCGATGCGTTTTCGGGTTGTGGGGGGGGGGGGGTGGCTGTGGCCCGCGAGCCGCCGGGAGCCACCGCCCGTCCGGCGTTTCCCTCCCAGCGCGGGGAGCGAAACGCCGGACGCAACCCATCGCCCAACGGCTCGCGGCAACGTCCCGCAAAGTCGGAGGGGGGAGGCGATTGATTCAAGAAAGCCCTCGCCGATTCCCACTGCCCGGTCCGAGACATGTCGAGCTGTCGTTGCAGTGCGTGTTAATGATGCATGTCTCTTTCAGGGGGTGCTCAGAGTCTCCCGTGGAAATTTGGCTCGCGTTCCTGCAGATTTAAACGCCAACAATCGCGAATTACAGTAATGCGTAGAGATGATTTCTAATAGATTATTAGGGCATTCGTAGTGGTTTGAATGAAAGAAATAACTGACATGATACGTTTTAAAGCTTCTGGAACATCCATATATTACAGCCCAAACTTAGTCAGGAATTCTAAATCCACGTGTTTCGCAAAGATGTCCCCTTTTACGTAATTTCCTTTTGCACGAATGATTTTATTTTTCTCGCAGCTGCTGCTACGCACGGCACCATCGTCTCTCCATTCTCCCACCGAGGGAACCCACCGTTTAGACACGCGCCTCATATTACCGTATTCTCCGGATCATGACGCAAGTTTCCCCCCCCCCCCTCCGTAGTATTATAAAGCAAGATACGTGGTTCATCAATCTGGTAGGTGTGCGCATGCACGCGTGCGAGTGTGTGACCAGATTTGTGGAGCATCTTCCCGTTATCTCAGTCAGTCAGTCAACCCATGGCACCTGGGTCTGTCCCCGTGACCTCCTGCCAGCAGCGAGCCTTTGAAACTTCACGTGGCCTGGGAGTGCACCTGGCCTGGCGCAAGCGCTGCGGCGACGTCACCGCCACATAGTGGCGAATGTTGTTGTTGTTGTTGTTTAACTTTATTGACACCGGGCACACGCTTTTGGGGTGCGTCCTACTTTTCGGAGCGTCTCACGATCCGGAGAATACGGTGACGTAGCTGCCCTTGTTCCGTGACCTCTTTATTCCAGATGGGTTTTGTAACCAGGGGAGCGATCGCTCCGGAGCGCAGACGGCATTAGGGCGGCACGCGCAGGCCTCTCTCCCCGCTATCACGAGGCTGCGTTGTGCTCACGTTTCTTCAACGCGATCGTCGCACGGCAACGCGCGCGGTAACCGTTTAACCTCTGCCTTTATCTCCCCATCATTAAGGCTACTTGCACTAGCTTTTAGAAGATGCGAAAATGCGCGCACACGAACGCGCAAACACGCACGCACACGAACCCACGCACGCACACTGGTGCCATGTAATTAATTGGAGGTGGGCCACCGTTAGCTTCGGGAGTTGGAACAATGATCAGTGATCGGCTACTGTGCGTGAGCGCTACCGTCTCTTCGCTGCAAATTGCACCTCTTTGCCCCGGGAGTATAAGTGAGTGAGTGGGTGAGTGAGTGAGTGGGTGAGTGGGTGAGTGGGTGAGTGAGTGGGTGAGTGGGTGAGTGAGTGAGTGGGTGAGTGGGTGAGTGGGTGGGTGAGTGAGTGGGTGGGTGGGTGGGTGAGTGAGTGAGTGAGTGGGTGAGTGGGTGGGTGGGTGAGTGGGTGGGTGGGTGGGTGAGTGGGTGAGTGAGTGGGTGAGTGGGTGAGTGGGTGAGTGAGTGAGTGGGTGAGTGGGTGAGTAGGTGGGTGAGTGAGTGGGTGAGTGAGTGAGTGGGTGGTTGAGTTGGTTTAACCAGACTGGATTGTGTGAGGAGCTCACAAATCCTTGAAAGATCTGGGCAAGGTCCCATCGGTGAGCTCCTCCAGCGGGCAAGGCTGCGATGGCTGGGTCATGTAGCCCGCATGCCCAGCCACCACATGCCAAAACAGCTTTTGTTCGGCCGGATCGAGGGGGCTAAACGGGCGCAGCACGGGCTAGAGAAGAGATGGAGTGATGTGGTACAGGAGGACGTGGGGCTGAGTGGACTTGCCGATGACTGGTACCAGCGGTATCAAGATCGGCCTCTGTGGAGGAGGCTCGTGAAGGACGCTACTGGGCAGTTGGAGGCAGTCGCCCTCCAACAACAACGGAGGGCGGAGGAGCGACGCTCACAACAACGAGCGAAGCGCCGGGTGGCTAAAGCACAGCAGGTTGGCACAGTAGGGGGCACAGGTGGTGCATCAGCCAGTCATCTCAGTCAGTCGACCCGTGGCACCTGGGTCTGCCCCGTGACCTCCTGCCAGCGGGTGTTCGACACTTCACGTAGCCTCAAGGTGCACATGGCCTGGCACAAGCGTCGTAGTGACGTCACCGCCACTTAGTGGCGAATGGCGGTTGTTGTTGTTAGTTGAGTGGGTGAGTGAGTGGGTGGTTGAGTCAGTGAGTCAGCGGTTGTGTAAGTTGTGACCTGCAGCGACGGCTGTTGGAACACGGGGCGGATGAGATGAAACAGTCGGTGTCTGTTAGACCAAATCCTCAACACGGGTGGAGGAATCATCGACATTAACTATGGTAGGAGCGATAGAAGAATGTGATAAGGAGGCGACTAATCACCAACCCACCACAGTCGTGAGATGTTAACCACCTTGCCTGATATACAGGAGGTCGTGGGTTCGATCTCGACCCTGACGTCTGTATATCTGGAGTTGGCATGTTCTCC